ATAAGATTCCGAACTCTGTAATAATGGTATTTATTTATTTATTTATTTATCATAACTTCCGTTTATGTTATATATCTACAATGATATTGCCATGTAATGCCAAGTACATCTCTTGATGTTTAGTACACCATCTTGTTCAAGGACTTAAATAATAAGCGATGCATTGCAAGCTCTCCAACATATTTTTTAATTTATTTTTATCTAATTAAACTGTGTGTAAATTCTGCTGCTTACCTCTTGAACCTTAGCATATGGTTTATTTCTCCCTTTTGTAGAAGAATTTCACGCACGGTTTAGATATACGCCATTGACGGCGCGTTGGGTGCAGATGCACCCACTTTTTGAAAAGTTGTCATCAGATACATCCGGGATGGCTCGCGCCTCTAATTGCTACCTCCGGGGATAGGCGGCATGTCTTCGGGACCTGCTACGCGGCCGATCTTGGTCACGATCTCTCTCAATGATTTGTGGCGCTCTCCCCGATGACTGCTAAACAATGTAAATTCCATACTTTATCAATGTTGGTTGATACGCATAAGTGCCGTCAAACAGCCGTTTCGAACCAACTTGAAGTTGGTTCGAAACGGAATGTGTGACGGTAGTCTGGAAACCATTAAATACCTGATGTACTCATTGGTGCACTACATACTCCTAGAGACAAAAGCAGTATTCAAAACGTAGTTTGTTCAAAACATTCATAAAGTTTCCTGGTGCTGGCAAGTCTTAGCCGGATTTGTGAACACGCCAATTCCGCTATTTGGTTGGATTCTCAAGCCATCGTACAAGCTCTTAGAGCTCAACCTTTCATATGTAAACGATCGTAACTGAATTTCTCAGTATGAGAGTACAGGAAATGCTGTCGAAATTTCCTTGCAACTTAGTTTGCGTACCAATTGTTTTGCATCTGCACCCAACAGGTGCAATTGCTCGTTGAGAGCAGCAACATTTCCTGCTAAGCCCATACCCTAATTTTACATTGAAGTTGCTACTTGAAAATGTTGTAGCACAAATCCACATCAGCTTGAGTTCGAC